TGCCGGCAGCAGCGCAGACCTGCCTGCCCCGGCCGCAAACTCCCAGCCAGCAAAAATTAAGCTGAGTTGGTCCAAAATGGGCTTTTCCTTTCATTGCAGGGCAGTGATTTAAATGCCTTTTTTTTTTTTTTTTTTTTGGTTTTCCCTCCCCAAATGGCCGTTGCCACGCTGGGGGGTGGTGTGTGCCCGCACCCAGCTGTAGCCTTGGTGGTGGTTGAGCTTATTCGCTGTGGTTTTTAATTTGCTTTTTCTCTCCCTTCTCTTTCTTCCCTCCCACTCTAGGAGAAGAATTTTATGAAGCTTCCCCCTACGAGCCGGTCACCTCTCGTCTCTCTGATATATTCAGACTTGCTTCAATTTTCTCAGGTAATAAAAGCAACACGCTTCCACTGTTTTATCTGCTCTTGCTCACGAACGCAGACCCGCTACCGAGCTCGCTGGCAAGGAAAACCTGCACCTCCTTCCCCCTGTGGTTTGGTCCTTTTGCTCCTCCAGCTCCTGTGGCCGCTCTCCTGCCCGGCTCTTCTCCCATCGCCCCAGATCTGATGCCTTGAGCATCAGTTGAGGGCGACACGTGGCCGGGACGCTGAAGCCTGATGGAGGGGCTGGTTCCCTGGGGTTTGGTGCACTTTGGGACAGATCCTCTCTCTATTTCAGACCTTCCCAGCAGGATCAGATGTTGTGGGAGCGGGTGAGCCCCAGCGGAGGTGGGGGCTTGCTTTGAGCCCCTGCCCGGCAGAGCGATGGGCAGCAGCCTCCTCCTTGGGCTTCCTATTCCCCCCCAGGCTCTGATTTGGGTTTTTACCTTTTGGACTCGGCTACCTCCAACCATGGCCTTCTATCAAGTAGCTGAGGTGGCTGGAGAGCCCGTTGTTCCCTCGTTTGTCTTGCCAACAACGTGTCCCCTCCCGCAGCCGAGTGTCGGGGCATTCGGCAGGGAAGAAGGGGGAGGCGCAGGCACAGCCCGGGCTCCGGGCGGGACCAGACCCTCCTGCTGCCCATCCATCGCTCGCTGTAAAGTGGTTTTGTCTTCTGGAAGATTTGGGACTGTCAGGACTCTGGGAAGCTGAGGGGGACACCCCATGTTTGCTGTCCCTCCGTAGCCGGGAGCTGAGCTATGGGATGCTGCTGGGAGAGGGATGCTGAGCCCTTCGGAGCGTCTCTCTGACTCCACGTCCTCCTCTCGGGAACCCAAACTCTGCCACCATCCTCAGGAACTTTTTTTTGCCATCTATTTCCATGACAACCCTCCGTGCTGCCACCACCCCACCCCCCCCTTTTCAAATTAGGTCAGCAATGCCTTGGCTTCTCTTTGCTCTCCCTCCTCTTTAGCCCTTTCCCCAAAAGCCCACCACCACCACGGGCTTTTGGGGGTCCCTGCGTCCCTAGACCTTGTGCACATGGGCGAGAGGGTGGTGGCACCTCAGTGATGCTGTGCCCCCCCCTGCCCCCCAGCCTGCAGCCACCCCGGCTCACTTGGGGACATCTCGGAGGAGGGCTCTGACGCCGCATCCCCTCGCTGCCGTCACCCGCCGGGTTTTAGCTCCCGAAGCAAATTTGCCAGGCTCCCTCCGGGGAGGTTAGCACAGGTTTCGGGATGACGATGCCACCCCCTCCCGTCTCCCGCCCGCTTTTTTGGATTACATTAGCGTCAAGGAAATATTTTAGCTGCTGGAACGTCTGAAAAGCAAAGTGTCTGGAGTGGGGGATTAAACGCTCATGGGTTGATTTATTCAGAAAAGCAAAGCGAGAGGAGGAAGGAAGGCTGCCTGGCAATTTTGGGGCTCGGGGAAGAGGGAGGGGAAGGGGCTGTTGTTGTGCTCCAGAGATGTCCTGTGGCGATCGGGGTGGTCTTCCACCCCCTTCTCCATCCCCCTCGCGTGGGGCTGGAGCGGTGGGAGCGGTGAGCGGCTGCCCCCCTCCCCGGACCCTCAGCCCCAACCTGAAGCCGAAGCGATTGAAGCAAATGAGCTGTTAGTGTTGTTTCTCGATAACGAGGCTGAGGCAGAGCGCTGCTAATTGCCTGTGGGGGTAGCGGAGGGATTACCTTACCTTTCTGGAAGGAAGGGGCCGTGTAAGCGATGCACGCTGCTCTGGCTGCTCCTGCCCTCGGCGGGCAGGCTGCTGGGACCCGGGAGGGGGGTTGGCAGCGTCGTGAGCGAGCATCGTGAGCGAGCACCACAGCCCTCCCCACACACGGGGCTTTGTGGTCCCAGACCACCCCCCACCCCATGGAGCTGAGCATCCTGGGGCCAGCGGTGAGGATGCTTGGTGGTGCCAAGGGGTGCCGGAGCCTGTCCTGTGGAAACCACAGCCTGCAGGGAAGAAGGGAGAGGCTCCAGCGGGGAATCCAGCCCCACGCTGTGTTTCTGCCCACGTGGGCGCCAACCTGGGGTAGCAGCACCCAAGAGGCGGGTGGGTGTCAGACCCCCGGACTCAGCCTATGCTGTGCGCCATGGAGCGGGCTTGTGGCAGAGCTGCCTTCCCTACCGCCCTCCTCTTCCTCCTCCTCTCCTCCTGGCCCCATCCTGCCCTGAGAGGCCAGGCAGAGCCTGCTGAGGGGATGACTGGTGGCACCGGTTCTCCCAGCGTGATCCCCTCCCTGGCTCCTTGGCCCCCGTTTCCTTCTCACCTCATGAAATTTTCATGCTGGTGCTTTATTAATGAGCTCCCCAGAAACCCTGCGCTTTCAAGCATGGGCTCTATTAAAATGCATCCAGGTCCCCGCAGGTCTCAGGCAGGGCAGGAGTGATGATGCTCCGGAGGATTAGACAATAAGCTGGCACTTTGCACAGATCCCACGCTTGTGCCGGAGAGCCGCCGCCGCGCTGGCTGGTGACTGCTCGCAGGGCTCGGATCCGGGGCCAGCACACCGGGGTGCAGAGGGTGCTCGGTGCATCCCCCTCAAATCCCAGAGCTGGCCTGGGCGAGGAGAAAAGAGAGCCATGTGTCCCCCCCATCCTCTGCAAGCGCCTTTTTCTCCTTCTGCTCCTCTGACATCGGTGTCATGAGCTGTCTCCATCCTCAGCCCTTGGCTGGAGGGACTGTCCCCCGGCACCATCCGGGCTGGGGGAGTTCCTGCTGTGAAATGGCAATTCCTGCCCCATCCCATCTCTGGGTCTGGGCTGCACAGGGAGGGTGTGAAGCTCCAAAGGACTCATCTTCACCTCCTTTCTCCCCGGCTTTGTTCCAAACAGGGCTCCACGAGGAGCAGGGGGGAGGATTCCCCCTCCCCGCCCAGCGCGGTGCTGGTTCATGCTCCAACCATCCGTCAGCTCAAACGTCTCTCTTAGCTCAGGCGACCTTCTCGCCCCTTGCACTATTTTTCAAGGCGGATCTACTTACAAATCATATATCATAAGGAGCGTTCACTTCCCGTATGCCTTATCGAACTCCCCGGTAGATCTCCACGGGGGGGTGTTCACCACTGGGATGACACGTTTGGCATTTCGAGGGCTCTCTCCGAACAGCTTTACCCCCCCTCCCCGGGCTCTGGGGTCTCACAGCATCACAGCCCACCCGGGGGGTGCTGGTCCTGGGTGAAGGGGGCCGTGGGGACCCCAAAGGTCAGGACTGGTGGCACCGAGCCCCCCCCACAGCTGCGGACACCCCCTGAGGGGATGTGGGTTGGGTTTGCATGGGTCAGCACTGGGGGGAGGGCTTTCAGTGAGACCCCTGAACGCAGGCAGTGCTGGCCGCTCCTGGCTCGGAGGCTCCCGCTGAGTCGTTTAAGACCGTGGGAAAATGAGACAAAGTTGGGTCCCATGCTGCAAAGGACACCCCAAAAAGCTGCTCACCTGCAGGGCAGCCCCCACGGGCAGCGGGGGGAGGCAGACGGAGATGGGGGCCACCCCTCACTCAGGCAGCTGCTGCCCATTTGCTAATTAGCAGGGCCCTGCAAATACGTCTGGTAGGAAACCCTCCTCGGCGCGGTCGTTTGTCTTTGCCAGCAGAAGCTGAGGAATCCACGGGCTTGGCTGGGCTGTGGAGGGAAGGAAATTAGGGATGAGATGGCTCATGCCGTCAGGTGGCTTCTAAAATAGCACCTGGGCTGCTGAGGGCGATCCATCATTTTGACTGAGAAATAAAAAAAAAAAAGGAAAATTCAGCGTTTGTTCCCACGCGGTGGTTTGGCTTCGTCCATCCTCTCCCTGTTTATTTGCTGACGGCTGGGGTTCCCGGGCTGGATGTGGGATGTGTCCGGTGCCCGGCTTGTCCTCATCGTCCCTGGCCTGCTCAGCCCTGGGTGGGGGCTGGCTGGGGG